AAGTCATCCATGAAAACTTCAAGACTCGATTCTAACATGTCAGAGAATATGGCAGTCAGGCACCGCTGAAAGGTTGCTGGTGCATTACATAATCCAAAAGGCATTCTACGATATGCAAAACACCAAAAGGACATGTAAAAGCAGTTTTCTCTTGATCCTCCGGTGCTACTGGGATCTGAAAATAGCCGGAGTAACCATCTAGGAAGCAGTAGTGAGAATGACCCGCCAACCGTTCGAGCATTTGATCAATAAAAGGGAGAGGGAAGTGATCCTTTCGGGTCGCCTCATTCAACTTCCTATAATCTATACACACTCTCATGCCCGTAACAGTTCGGGTAGATATCATCTCATCCTTATCGTTTCTCACTACTGTAATTCCTCCCTTTTTAGGGACCACATGCACGGGACTAACCCAAGTACTATCAGAGATAGGGTAAATAATACCTACATCCAATAGCTTCATTACCTCTTTATGCACTACTTCTTTCATGTGCGGGTTTAGTCTCCGTTGTGCCTGGACGGAGGGCTTGGACTCCTCCTTTAGAAGGATCTTATGCATACAAAATGCTGGACTAATGCCTTTGATGTCGGCAATAGTCCAACCTAAAGCCTGTATGTGCTGGCGTAAGACCTTCAAGAGCTCCTGTTCCTGCGAATCAGTCAGTGTAGCAGAAACAATAACAGGTAAAGTGGAGTTTTCCCCCAGATATGCATACTTAAGGTGACTAGGCAATGGTTTTAGTTCCAATTCCGGAGGCTGGATCTGAGATGGAACCATTTTCTCTAGAAACTTAGCCTTGTCATCACCTTCCACCTGCATAGGCAATGCCTCGAGCATTTGTGCCCTCTTTGACACGGTTAGCTCATCAAGTTCATTATCAGAATCATCAAACTCAGAATCAGCATCATAATCATTGTTCAAGACAGCATTAGTGCATGATTCTATGACATCCACAGCAAACACATCACTAGAGTCATTAGGGTACTTACTTGCATGGTATACATTGAATTTTACCTCTTCCCCACAGACTCTGAATGTCAGCTCGCCTTTTTGGACATCTATGAGAGCACCCCCCGTAGCTAGGAAGGGTCTCCCAAGAATGAGAGGTACTTCCCTGTCCTCCTCCATCTCCAGAATGACAAAGTCGGCGGGGAAGATGAACTTTCCCACCTTCACTAGCACGTTCTTCACCACGCCTTTGGGGACCTTTACTGATCGATCAGCCAGCTGTAGAGTAATTCGAGTCGGCTTGATCACATCTTGGAGTCCCAGCTTCTTATAAACAGAATATGGCATGAGGTTTATGCCGGCTCCAAGATCACAAAGCGACTTTGTAAACTCTGTCTCACCAACAATACATGGGATGGTGAAGCTCCCTGGATCTTCCCTCTTCTCTGGCAATTTATTTTGGATAACAGCACTACACTCTGGTGTGAGTGTTACTTTCTCCAAATCAGTCCATTTTCTCTTCTTTGTCAACAATTCCTTAAGAAATTTGGCATATGTGGGCATTTGCTCAAGAGCTTCCGCTAGCGGAATGTTGATCTGCAACTGCTTGAAGAGATTCACAAATTTTTTGAAGTTAGGGTCCTCCAGGGGCTTCATCAACCTTTGAGGGAATGGTGAGAGTGGGTCATAAGGTTTTAGCTCCTCCCTCTTTGCTTTTTCCTCTTCTGGTTTTGCACGGGCAGCATGCTTTTGCGCAGGCAAACCGCTTTCATTTTGCCTGTGCAAGGCTGATTCTTCATTTTCTGCACAAGATCTTTCTCCCGGTGCTTCCTCCTCTGCCTCTGGTGCCTTTTTCGAGCTGCTAGGGTCTTCCAAGGCCTTACCACTCCTCAATGTCACTGCCACAACTTTAGCATCTTTTGGATTCCTCTCGGTATTAGCCGGTAATGTCCCAGGAATCTTGCCCTGCATATCCGCCAGAGTTTGAGCCATCTGTCCCATCTGCTTCTCCATAGCTAGCATAGAAGATTGTAAATTATTGTTGATGGCTAGCTGTTGAGTGACAAACTGATCCAGGCCCTTCAGATTATTGTCGGTTTTCTGCATGTGAGCCAGAAGCAATTCTTCAAGTTGTGGTTTCTTCTCTGGTTGAGGTGGAGGTTGTTGTTTCTGCATGCCTGGAGGTGGAATGTTGCGAGCACCATTTGGGTTGTTGTTCGCCCAGGAAAAGTTAGGATGCTTCCTCCATTATGGGTTGTAGGTATTTGAATACATACCACCCTGGCCTTGATTTCTCTGATTGTTGATATAGTGCACATCTTCCACCTGATCAGCCACCAGTGGACATAGATCCCTATGATGAGCACCTTCACATAATTCGCAATAAGCAACCTCCTCTTGTCTACCAAGAGCCAACTTAGCCAGCCTTCGTTCGAGTGCATCGAACTTGGAATCCAGCTTAGCATCAATCTTTGCTTCTAAGCTTGCAACTCTGTCTATCTCATGCAAGCCTCCTCTCCTTCGAATGCCGGTCTCACTACCCCATTCAGTATCTTCAGAGCATATCTTCTCCACCAGTTCATATGCTTCTGGTGCTTCCATTCTTGTGAAACCATTACGGGAAGCATTATTCAGAGCATCTCGAAATTGTCTTCTGATTCCGTTGAAGAAGATGGAGATCACATTCCAATCTTCAAGACCATGGCTTGGGCATCTCATTAGAAGCTCCTTATAGCGCTCCCATGCCTCGGTCAGACTTTCATCCTCAGCTTGTTTAAAAGTGACAATTTCCTCTTGCCTCTTCATTGCTTTGGCAGGAGGAAAGTACTTATCCAAAAAGGTCTTCTCAAGCTGACCCCATGTTGTGATGGAACGGGGTGTCAAGTTCTGGAACCAGTGTGATGCATTCCCAAGCAGAGAAAATGAGAACATCCGAAGACGGATGGCATCATCAGACACAGCCGGGCTCTTCTTTGTGTCACAAATGTTTGCAAACCGGCGGAGATGTTCTTGAGGATCCTCGGTGCTGGCCCCTGAGAAGGTGTACCCATTCGTGATCATATTAATGAAGGCTGGGGCAATCTCCATGTTTGCATCCCCAGCCGGAATGACAACACATGAAGCTCGGGCTCCAGTCCTCCGATTCAGACGAGCCCTGATTGAACGATCCTGTTCAGCCATGATGACAGGCTCGATGATGCGCGGCGGTGGTGTAGGTGGTGTAGGGATGACAGGTGGTGTCACCTGCCTTCTCGGTTGACGATTCTGAGTTAGGGAAGGTCTAGGAGTTGTGGATGTGGTAGGCTGCTTCCCTAACTTGACCTGCTTCCTGTTCTGTCGGCAGGTCCTCTCGATCTCGGGATCTAGTGGCAGTAAATTGCCAGTCGTCCTCCTTGGCATGCACGAGGAGGATAAACCTGAAAAATTCACCTACACACTAACACCCATATCAAAATAGTTCACTCACAAAAATCAATAAAAATAAGATATGGCAGTTCCCGGCAACGGCGCCAAAAACTTGATAGGGCAAAAGCGTATATGCCAATTTCCTATCTCGTAGTAAATCGGAAAGTCCGGGTATCGTCTCTCAGGGACTGGTAAAACCTAATGATTTATTGATTCTATAGAGCAAACTACAGGTGAAAATGGTTTAATGAGACTAATTATCTAAAAGCAAAATAAACTAAACAAATTAAGCAAGTGAAAACGGTCGGGTTTAATTCAATGGGAGAAAGCTCTGGCAGAAACACCAGGATTCACTACCTATCCTATCCAGATTAATTCACATATTCCAATAAATTTAATCCATACCTCTAAAGCCAGGATATCACGAATGTGCTAGCTATCCCTGTCGGGAATTACTACGTACTAGATAATTAATTCAAATCCTACTGTCGTAGCTTAATGAATTAACTATATAGCCTGAAGATCGATATCCTATTTAAGACCGCATAGCACCTTATTTAATCCACTGTCGCTTCGATAAGTTACTATGTCACATGAAATAGGTTCAGTTAATAGGGTTTCACTGTCGCTAATAACCTAATCAACTACGATTCATTGTATTGGTGGCCAGTCAACACAAAGCATTAAGAAATTTCATGCAATAGAGATTGGAAGAAAAGAATCATAAATCAATCCATCAAATCAAGAAATAGCTACATCCTATGGTGTTTCCCCCAGAAATTGGGGTTTAGTTCATGACAAAATTAAGATAAGTCGATAGGGTTTTGTTCATCATGTTCTAAAACAACAAGAAACAACTAATTAGGTTTAGAAAATCCAACCAACTAATCGCTCTCGTTGAACTCAGCTCAGGTAGCCTTGGAAATCTCAATCGCCGATGGAAATCGACTGATCGCCTTTTGCTCTGCTGCCTTGCGCTTTCTTTCTCCTGCCCAAGAATTCTGCCCGCGACCCCCTTTATTCCCTACTCCCCGAGACTCTCTTTTTCCTTTTCCTTTTTCGCCAAAGAAATCCGCCCAGCCCAATCCTTCTGTTTGGCCCAAACTATACTTTCCTGCTCCCCCCGCGATCCAAAAAAACTCCTTTGTTTTTCTTTTTTTAATTCCCCCAAAGCAATTTCCGTTGCCAGCTCCACTTTTTCCCCAAGAATTTCGCCCTAGCCCTCCACCAAAAGAGAGGCCGCCCAGAAATCCAAATGCCTCCTCCCTTTCATTCCTTGTTTTGGGCCCATAATGGCCGCCACAACCTTGGCCCATTCATTTTGTCAGTTGATCACCAAGCAACAGGAGACAAAGAAGAAAATGGGCCTCGGCCCATAGATTCCTCTAACCCATTCCTTTGGGCCTTGAGCCCAAGTGAGTAGTCCTCCAGTAATTCGAGCTCGATTTATTGCTTGTGCACTCGCTCCTTTTTCGTGTTTTCTCCACCTGTATCATATCAAACTCATGGCAATAGGCAGTAATGGTTTTTCAACCATTCTCGGGTTAGCGAGCCCTAAAATAGCACCAATCAGCTTAAACATATCATAGATAATCACATAAAGTCCAAAATTCAATATGTTAAAGCCGATTATCATGAAGAATGGATGCCTAATCTCAAGATGGCATCGGATGAACTGCTCTCCGCTCCATCTTCGCACCAGCAATCCCATGATGCGACAGCAAGGATGGAGGAGCTCGTAGGGGAGCAAGATCTAGCGAACTCTAAGGCGCTTATGTCCGATGATGATGAGAATGACCAGCAATTTGAAATTAGGAGTCGAACCCCTATCTGGGACCTGGATACAATTTGATCTTTTGCTACTGGTCATGTCCGTAAAGTCGTGCAGGCTGTCGAGATTGGCAAAATGCCTAGTGAGGATGCTTACCAAGGCTGCCAGAGGCGTATCTAGCAAGAAGGAGACTTGGGGTGGCAAGGATCCTCGAAGGAAGATGCGAATGACATGGCTTGTATCCTAAATGAATATGGAACTAATATGGACAAGACAAACATGAGAGGTAGAAAGTGTGGTTAGGAGAAGGTTGAGGGGACTGTAGATGAGAGCCCTTCGCGTAAGAAGCATTTCGTGGAAGACACTGCTAATGAGGAAAAGGTGGAGGAAGCCAGCCACAAATGGTCTCAAGAGGATAAATGAAACTACTGGCATGGAATGCACGGGGAATTGGTTCATCCATCACATTCCAAACTGCAGTGGGACTAGTGCCTCGAATAAACCGGAGCTTGTTTTCTTTTCTGAATCAAGATCGAGGCGGAAAGTAGTTTCTCGTCGAATACGGGGGGTTAGGTTTTGATTCTTCTTGTTGTTTTTTGAAGATGAGGTTAATGCATCTGGTGTTTGCTTGGTCACCCGAAGTAGATGCTTCGGTGTTTTATCATTCGAATTTCGCATTTGTGTTCAGATTAATGAAATGAACTTTTCTTACGTTGTGATCTGTGTTTATATTAGATGCAATGAGTTAATATGAGCTGCCAAATTGGCGCAACTTAGAAGCATTTGTGACACAATCTAGTTACCGTTTGTGGTAATAGGAGACTTCAATGTTGCTTTGCATGAAAACAGAAAGGATAGTGGTAATCCTCGGCTCAATCAATTGACTTCTGTAATTTTGTCAATGACCTCGGACTACATGATCCTGGATATCGGGGTGATCAATTCACTTGGACAAACAAATGAATGGGGATGACTTGTATCCACAAACGTCTGGATAGAGCACTCTGTTCTCAATCCTGGATTGATTGGTATCCGGAAACCGTTGTTAAACATTTTACGATCAGGGATCCCATCACAGAGCTTTGCTCTTATCAGATAAGCCCTACATCCGGAACAATCAGCCTCTCTTCTGGTTTGAAGCGTGTTGGGCTGATAATCCGGAGGTCAAAGCTATGGTGACTTATGTTTGGCAGGAGGAACTCCATGGCACTCCTATGTATCATCTATGGGAGCGGCTAAAGAAAATCCGTAATTTGTTGTATGATTGGAGTAGAACGGGTACAACTAACTCTCTACGTAATATCAAGACGCTCCAATTGGAAATCAATTGGGTAAATTTGGTTCACCCGATTAATTGGGATGAGGTGAGGACTTTGGAAGCGAAGTTGAGCCGCAGTGGGATGCATAAGAGATTTACTGGGAAAAAATCAAGGGTTAGATGGCTCAAGAAGGGTGACAAGAATATGTCGTACTTTCACACAGTCACTAGGACTAGTAGAAAATGAAATTTTGTGTCCGGCTTGTGGAATGAGGCTAGGGATTGGATCACCAAGGAAAGAGGAAAATCTCACATTGCCATTGATTTTTATCAAACCCTCTTCACTTTAGAAACACAGGTTCTTAACATGGCTGACACAGTTGCAGAATTACCAGTAACCCAAAAAGTAACGATGAGATGAATGCTAGTGTTACGGCCGATGTCCTTCCCAGTGAAATTCGAAAAATGGTCTTTTCCATGGGATCAAAACACGCGTTTGGGTCTGATGGTTTCACTGGGAACTTCATCAAGTCTTTTTGGCCGATTATGGGTGACTTTGTGGCTGAAGCGATTTGTTCTTTCTTCAGCTCAAACAGGCTTCTTCAGAGTTTTAATCATACTTGGCTGACACTGATCGTTAAAGTGGACAATGTTGAGGATATGAGGCAAATCAGACTAATAAGCTTATGCCAATTTTTGTATAATATTGTAACTAAAATCATATCGAAAAGATTAGCCTAGTTCTTACCTCACATCATTGTGAGGGCCAAAATGCTTTCATCCGTGAAAGACAAATTGTGGAAAATATCTCTACTTGGGCATGAGTTAATGCACTATTTGAAAATCAAAATCAAGGGAAAAAATGGTACATGGCTAAGGTTGACATGGAAAGGCCTATGATAGAACTGACCGACCATTTCTTCTAGCGGTTTTGGACAAATTGTGCTTTAATGCTACCTGGCGAGGCTGGATCCATGAATTTCTAAGCTCAACGTCGTTCTTGGAAGCAAGGGTAAAGCCACGCTAGTAGTAGGGGTTATAGCTCCCATAAACTTGCAAAATTAGATAAAAATATATTTAAGTTTCATAACAAATTCTGAAAACAAAATAATTGGTAAGAGTTAAGCTTCCTAAATTGTCACGGTTTAAATTACTTGAGTTTAAACTTTTTAGCCTTCTTGTTCGTATTTTTGGCAGAACTACTTCTTGTTTGTGTGGAAGCAATGATGTGGTGAACAGTTTATATTTTATTTAAGGGATGACAACAGTTGTAAACAAGAAAAAGTAAGAGTTACATGAACTCAACAAAATGAGGTGAAAGAAAATAAATGGAAAACAAGAAGATGAAACTGCGACGACAAAGGGAAATATAATAAGTGAAGCAATAGTATGCTTTTTTTTGTAATGATTTCTTTCATTCTTTCATCAACCGGTATACATAAAAGTTTAATAAATCCACCCTTCTAGGATGGCCTTGCAGTGCATGTTGTGGTATTCCATCGTTACAGTAGAGTAGTTAATTTTTTTCTCCGTTGATTGTTGGCCCCAAACGACGAATCCAGAGTGTAATGGAGTGAGTAGTTAATGTTTCTTGCACCATTTTGTGCAAAAATAGGGCCGGTTGATGTCATCACGTGCGCAACAATGCTTTCGACCTTCGTACAAGAAAAAACACCCATTAATTCATGCTTGCAGACTAATTAAAAAAAAAGGAAAAGAAGCAAGGATCAAATGCCTAACTCATTGTCATGCATATATGGATACCTAGATATGATCTCTCTTGTTTTGAAACTTCACAAAGTTGGTGATTGAGATTAAAACGGCTCAAGATAGGGTGCATAACCTTGGTGGGTAGCAGTAGCTGTGTTCATGATCATCATTTACAGTAGCTGGATAGCAGCGTAATGATGAGAAAAAAATGTTTGTTTATTTTATAATTGAAATCAAAAGTGCCAGTAGTAGTATACATGCATGGCAATTGGCAAGAGATATGAAGCTTACAAATGTAAATAAATTACAATATTGTAGAGTTCAATCATGGCTTGATGCACTTTATTTAAGAAATTAAGGGACTTGTCTGTTATTCTATGAGATAGTTCAGGTCCTAATTCATGAATCGGTCGATGCTACAATCACAATTTTGGAACATCGGAATATGAATCTGCTATTGCATCCTGCAAAATGATAAATAGACATCAAGTTAAAATAGTAATAAGTAAAATGATAAAATATAAATAAAATTATTATTATTTCGTATACCTGTAACAATTGAGTGTATGACATATGATTGAAAGATTTTGTGGTCCGGTGCTGGGGATGAGAACAAAACATCCCTTGTCAAATGGGATATGTGTAAGGCTGATGTCAACAATGAGGGTTTGGGACTATTTGACCTACACTCGTTCAACAAGGCCCTCATGTCCAAATGGCTTTGGCGTTACGCTACTTAAACGAGCAGTTGGTGGCATTCCCTTATTAGCTCGAAGTACAAGCATAAACAGTCCAAATGGGCAACTATTACTTTCAAAAACAACTATGGTCGTTCACCTTGGGCGGGCGTCTCAAAGGAATATAATTCCTTTTGGAAATTCGCTTACATCGAACCAGGAAGCGGGCATGACATTTCATTCTGGTACAACTGCTGGGCTCCTGGATTCATTCTCAACAACAACTTCCCGCGCGTAGCTGCTGCTGCTTCTGCCCCTGAAGCCTCCATCGCCGAAATGACTTCCTTTCCTGGTGAGTCCCTCAATTGGGTTATTGACCTTAACTACGATCTTAGAGGTGGGGCTTTGAGAGAAAAGAACAATTTATTGGTTTATCTTAACTCGCTTGGAACCCTTAACAATATATTCAGTCCCTCCAGACCGATATGGGTGCCGGATTCGAAGGCTTGTTTTTCTGTTAATTCTCTTTACAGGTGCTTTGTTGATGAGCTTTTTCCAGGAGTTTCCTCCTTTCCGCGTTCATCTGTTTGGAGAAGCATTATCCCCTCCAAGATATGCTTCTTTGCATGGACTCTTTTCCATAAAAAGATATTGACAACTGACAACTTGAAGAAGCGGGGTTGGATTATTGCCAATCGATGTGAACTCTGCAAGCAACAAGAGGAATCCATTGACCACTTGTTTTTCGAATGTGTCTTCTCCCAAGCTGTTTGGAATCTCATCAAGAGGCGATGTCCCAGCATCCAGCGCCAAGGCAGGGAATCATTGAAACCATTAGAAACTGGCCTCACAGTAATCCGACAGAAGTTACAGGATGGTTTGTCTACTGCAGTCTTCACGCTGTGTGCTGGAATCTCTAGTTGGAATGGAATCGAAGGATCTTTCAAGATATAGCTGCTTCCAGCATTGTTATTGCTCGCAGGATCTCCCGTTTGATCATTTATTGGATCATTGTTCACGGCAAGGCGGACAAGCGAGACTGCATCTCCTGGATGGAAGGGAATTTTGTATAGAGTTTTGTTCTGGATCATGCCTTTCTTGAGTGTTGATTGCAAGGCCTTCTGTTTCGATGTTCTTGTCTTTTCAGGGGGTCGCCTTGCTCTTAGAGTCTTTTGACGTCTGGCGATCGTTTCCCAGTCGCCTTCTGGGTTCTCAGTTTTTTCTTCTTTTCTAGTTGTTTTTCAGGTTCAGTCCTGCTGAACTTTGTTTCCTTTGTACCATCTTTTCTCCTCTTTAATTTAATTTCTCAAATTCATCAAAAAAAAATTGTTGGTATAGTAATCGAATTCTGAGATTCATATTGTGAAATGACCGCCTAAAAGTTTAAAAATTATATCAATAAATAGAAATATATATATATATCTCACTTCATAAAAGAAAACAAATGTACTATGTGTTTTTTATATGTAAAATAAGTTGAAGCAAACAAACCTTATCATTATAGTTTTCTTCTAAATAAAAGAGTACAAGCTAAAACAATTTACCTGAGTTCTTTGACCTTGAACTTCGGGACTATTTTTAAGTTGTTGAGAAGAACTTGTTTTCACTGTTTTACCCTACATATAATGTTATTTGAAATATAATAATTATAGTAGTATAATAAGGTCATATTACAGTATTCTTTTAAAGCAACAAAAAAGAAAGGAAAAAAGAACATGTGACTTTGTTTGACTTTTATGGTTTTTACTTCGCTCCAATGCACCTTTCAAACTGCCTTTTGGTTGTGCAACTGTAGCTTTGATATTGACTCAAGCTACAATTGGACAATCTTGTTTGCCTTTTGAGCATAATCCCTCATCAGACACTCCACCTTGTGAGCATTTTTTCATCTCCTGCAGATCCTTCAACAACGTGGAAAGAACTCCACATGTATGCTCATACATAGTGTCTTTCTCGGCTGCTAGGGTGGATATCTATCGAAAATTGTAGTTAAGATCCAAGTAACGCTTCCCAATGAGTTCCTTCGACCCTCCTTGAATTTGAGTTGAACTTCTTATTTGTCCATCTTTGGCCCTTTGTCCATCTCTTCATTATGTACTGCTTTGGAATGTGCTTTTTATTTTTCTTGTCAAGAACTTTCAAAGCATGAGCACATAATATTCCCACAAAGTCAAACATTCTGCAACTGCATTCAACACCTTGAGAAGAAAGATCAAATCGGATTTGGTGCTCTGTACCTCTACCAACATATATCACTTTGTACACAACTTCAACTTCTGTTTTGCTAATCTTATCAATGGTACAATCCTAAACTTTGAGGTATTCTTCTTGAAACATTTGAAACACATTGGGAGTATAAATCTCTGATGCCTGTCTTAACACCTCAACATCTGCTCTCAATCTTGGGCTGGTGTTCCTCATTTTGAACTCTGACAAGAGCTCTTTATACCGTCTATCTTCTATCATGCGACCATAATGCTCAAAAAAGTACACCATGTTATGTTTTCGCTTCAAATACTTCTTCAACACATTGTTCATTGATTCACAACGTTGTGTACTCTTCATATCAGCAGTAAACATATGTCTCCCATAAACCATGGCCAATTTTCTCTTTCCAAGAAAATCCCATGCAACCATTCATTGTTCTCCAAATTATACTTTTTAAGCATAGCATCCCAAGCTTCATACCATTTATCCTCATCCTCATAATCATATACACATGCACCAAAATCACCAGCAAATCGACTAGATGCATGAAATACATTGCTTAAGTGTTTAGCATCATTTTGGTAAATATGCCAAACACATAAACGATGATGGGTTTTGGTAAATACCTCTTCAATTGCTTTGGCCATATCAGCTGACTGATCTGTTAATATAGTCTTGGGTTGTGCTCCCGCCATTGCAGTCAGAAAGGTTTGAAATACCCACTTGAATGATGTGATTGTTTCATCATAAAGTAATGCTCTCCCAAAAATTATTGTCTCCTTCATATGATTGACTCCAACGAAAGGAGCAAAAGGGCGACCATACTTGTTAATTCTGTAGGTTTTATCAAAACATACAACATCTCCAAAGTGCTTGTATTCAACTATTGACCGGCCATCTGCCCAAAACATATTCATAATAAGATCATCATCATCAAGCTGCACAGAATAAAAATACGATGGATCATCTGATTGTGATTTCTGAAAACAGTCCATGATTGCTTGACCATCACCCTTAATCATTTTAGCCTTCTCTGAGAATCAATATAATTGTAGTAGTCAGTATCCAGAAATCCATTGTTCTCACGAACCCCATTTTGTACCGCTAGTAAATTAATAACCGACTTGATTGGTAACCCAGCCTTTTCAGCATCATCTGCAATAGCTTTCTGAGCAACACTGATCTTTCTATTGGATCTCAACATGTGCTTCATCGGAGTGGGAGCCAAATCATGGTTGTGTTTTGCTTCAAAAGAAATCACCTCAAGCAAACCATCATTTTGTAGTTTGCACGTCATCTTTGCTAAACAACCTATTCTGGTAATTGGTCGTTCATAAGCAACCTACTTCCCCTTTTTCTTTGCAGTTTTGCCTTCTTTAGCACATGTATATGTTCTTCTTTTTACTTCTCCTGTTGAAGTTCGCTTGACAAATTGGTTTCTTACACTGAATCCAAGACCATGTGCATATGCACTATAAAATGCATAAGCCATATCATCAGAGTTAAACTTCATCCCAATTTGTGGTACTTGATTATTCAAACCCGTAGGATGATTTTGTTGTTCATCTCCTACGTTTGAATTCATATATGCATAACACCCATAGCTAAAAAGCTTAGCAAGAGGGGATAAAAAACAAGTTAAATTACTAAAGTCTTGACATGCATGTCCCTGCTACACCATAGCACAGTTGCTTTTGATTTCAATAATCAATTCAACAAACATATAATAGTTAAGAATTCCCAAACGAAATAACAAAACTACCTACCTACAATTTACTTTTACCAATCAAATCACCTACCATGGCTACTACTACATACTGTTATTTTATGTTGGATTGTGGAAAGAAAAGAATATATCACCTAACCTTGTTTCCCTGCTGCTCCTCGAGATGGGATTTTCTCGACAATGGCTTGTGCGGCTTCAGCTTTTGTTTTTACAAGAAGAAGAAGTTAACCTGATATAAGCGTAACCAAACCCTTCTCTCACAAGTTGGGGCTACAGATTTCCATCCATGCCGTCTCCGTCATATTTATTACTAGTCACGGGCCCGGCCGTTTGGCCGGATTCATTTGTCAATCACGTAAATAATCATAGCAAATTGTATGTGAGATTAGCGTTTCTTTGGTAGTATGTTAAACATAAAGGTTTATGAAATTACATAACATTCTAATTTCTTGGTAGCATAAAAGAATTCAAATTATTATAATACTTCAACTATTCAAAATATGACATCATATTGTTTTTCGACATTCTAAGTTTCTAACCGAATTACGGAGTATAATTGTTTTATGAAAAATGATAAACAACCATTCAAAAGATAACATCATATTATTACAAAGTATAATTGTTTACGAAAAAATGAAAGACAATCATATGTCAGGAAAAGTTATGTAAAAAAATTCTTCTATTTACTCATCATCAGATATTACTCATCATATTGGTCTCCAATATCACCCGACGCCTGCTCCTTCTCTTGCATTTGAATAATTTCTTCCTTGTTTTCCTGCTTTTATTATTGCGCACAAAATTTTGAGGTTAAAAGATATTTTCAAATACAAATATTTTTGTCATGGTCTTAGAATTTACCTTGTCCATTTTATGAAAAATATTTACGGTTTGTTCGTTCTTGCATTTTAATTGATTTAGCTCATTCAGTGTTTTGGTTGAATTTAGCTGTTGAGGTGCTTTCGTGCTTTTCACTGGCAAATTTGGTCCATCGCCATAACTATTTTCATATTTGTTAATATATTTGAACAAATACTTGATAGCTCTAAACAAAAAAGTAAATTGATTACACTACTTCAAACATTCACATAAAGTTATAATAAACTAACAAAATTATACTGAAATAATAAAGTAATAAATTTTTTATTTAAATGTAAAGGTAATTGTAGTTATGTAATATGTTTATGTTTTGATGTTATATAATAAGAATTTTCATATAAATTTAATTAAAGAGAGATTTAAATTTTAAACAATATAAAATTATAATACAATTCTTTCAAAAGTGGAATTTTTTTTTTTTGGATATGTTCAAAAAGCTCATTCTCTATTTTTACCGTATGAAATTTATTTGATAATTTATTATTATTATTATTATTATGAATAGTAATTAATTTGAAAAGGAAAAAGATTCCTTCCTATAATCATTCAATTTAATCTGATGGGAGAGCCCCATAATTTAAATAGCATATTAGATTATTCTAGTGGGGATATATTTACTGCAACAATATGTATCTATTACATGGAAGGACAAATCGACTATCTAGTGAGACTCCATTCACCATACGATTTGTTGTTCTCTCGACGTCGGTACCTTGCAAAACCATTGCCATCAATAGTTGTTTGGCTGCAGAATCCCTTTGGAAAATGTTTAGAGCATACACCAATAGTTGTACGTACATGAAGCTTCAGGTACTTGAATGCCATATGGATCATGAAACATAAATTTTGTAACTGCTCCATAACATTCAAAATCTGCTATAGGATACTGCTATAGGATATGAGATTTCAACATATATAACTAAACATACTTTTGAAGGACTATTTAATTTGTCTTCTGCGGCAAGGAAAACTAAACAATGAGCATGAGGCAGACTACAATTTTGAATTGCAATGGCATTACATCTGTAATGAAAAAATTATCATAATAATTAAAATTGTAACATAATAGTTAGCGAACAAATAAAGAAGGCAAAATACAGTTGTATATCCACAACTATTAGGTTTGTGACAAATATATCCACAACTATCGAAATACACGAAATATCCAAAAATTGGAAGGTTGTGTGACAAATCTATCCACTTCCGTCTGAAACTATAACGGCGTGTCAGACGGCGTTAAATTGACTAACGGAATGCTGAATCGATGCCATCTCACCT